TGCTGAATTAGGGACACATTCTCCACATGGACGCTGTGCGTCTTTCTAGGGAAACTTCCACTCGAGATGGCCGGGGGACTCATCAGTGAGAAAAGTGCAGTACAACTGGTCCCACTCATATCAACGTGGAACGTGTCAGATACAATATTCGGAATTTTCTTTATCAAACCTACATGCAACTTCCGGAACTCGTTCCATCAGGTATTGTGCATTGGCGTGAGAATCGAGAAATCGTGCAACATCCAAATTTGCAACGTCAAGTTTCGGCATTCCGTCACAGATCCAATCGCGAGCATCTCACCAGTTCCTCCAGCCAATGATATTCAGGTATGAGTTTGTGAACATAATGTGTAGGTGGAAAATTGAAAAGGAAATTTCTGAATATTATTGATTGTAGAGAGGATTAAAAGGGATCATTATGCGCTGGTGGCTATCGCTAGGGTAATTTTACCGTTGTAAAGCTTTTTCAAGTATATCATACTATAGCTACATGACAGCTCAGATCCTTTCCACGTCCATATTCTCTTGCGAACACTTGTCTGTGATCCTCCCAGATCAGCCTCAATTTCTTGGGCACTTTGTACACTGTAGAAGCAAGAGAGCTGCATTGTGTACACGCCAAAGGAACGTTCCACGACAGCCTAACGGAAGATTCCTTGCCATAGATGAGGTTACTAGGTCCTTGAACACTGAAGCAGTGCCAGTTCAGCAACTGAAACTCGTGAGAAGTGCGTTAACGGCTTGTGACTTGTATCCATGCACTTCCCACGAATCTGTGCACGTCGCGAATGCATTGGTGTGTACGGTCGCCCCTGTGCTCTCCGATCACCAAGTGTGGTCAGTCTTGGTACTCGCCATTACCGCTTTGGAAACTGTCCTGTAGGCTCATCCATCTTCTAAAAAAGCACGCAATCATTTCTTTTTTCCCTTTCTCTTCACTACTGGTCCAGCACCTCGCTTTAATTTCCGATATCAATAGTCACACCTAGGTGATCGCGGAATGTGCTGCTATGCAGTCACAAGACTTCTGTCAACCAAGAGGTGCGAGTGTAGATGGAAAAGCGTTCCTCTGGTAGTTCTGGGACTAAGCCTTTCAAGGAAATAAAGAAAGCGGAGATTGCTGTAATAGTGTGCTTGTGTGAGAGCTCCCAGACATCACTACAAAACGCTGAATTGCCTAGCCTCACGGTTGACAGAAGTCCTTAAGACCTGCTACTGTATTCACAGTATCTGGCATGCATCACCGCTGTCTTATCCCACATAATAAAGTAACAGAAAAAATTTTCTCTCAATCATGTCAGGAAATCAAACATTATTGTATTTGTAAAAAGTATACTTCATAATTCCTTTGCTTGTCATTTTGCCGGATCGAAGCCACTACGGAAAGGCTCAACGCTTTCCAGCATTTTTTTTGCTTCACCATCGCTCTATGGATAAAAAGCCAGTATTTTAGTTTCTAAGATGGAATAACAAACATATGTTAGGGTATTATTGACTGCGTAGCCGAGAAAAGAGAGTTTCCTGTTGTTTGCAGC